ATCTTTCATATGTTCAGTTAACTAATACAGAAGATTTTATTTAGAGTGTGTCGCTGTAGACGAACAAGACACATCCACACTCATTCTGAATATCAAACGACATTGTGAAAATTATCGATTTATGTATAACTAATATGGATGAATAGAAAAGAAAAGACGCATGATCAAACCCTACATAAATCAAAGCATATATATATGACTCAATATTATAGCTGAAAGCTATGGTAGACACGTTCTATAAGAATGATTCATGTATAAATGATGAGTCATCGTTCTCTCCACGTTTTTTTCTTTCCTCTGGAAGATTCCTTCTATATGGTAGTAAGCCAAATAATATGTGCAAATGTCGTCAGTTTCTCTTAACATAAAAACAAACATACTGCCATTTACATTGCATTATTTTTGCCAGTTACTTTATTCTTTCTGTCTAGATATGAAATTATCGCTAGACAAATATGAATATATGAATGAAGATGCCATCGATGATAAATTAAAATGTATTATATGTGCTCAACCATTTCAAAGTCCAGTGATCCTCGATTGTCAACATACATTTTGTGAAGTTTGTATTGATACATGGATTAAAAAAAATGCATCGTGTCCTATATGTCGTCGTCAAGTTGATACAAATTATGTTTTAACAAAAATAACTGATTTGAATATTTGCAATCAACTTGATTGTCTTCCTGTTCGATGTCTTCAATGTCACAAGAATGGAATCCAACGAAATCGTTTTAAAAAACATATAAAACGATGCGCGAAAAGTCGAATATCAATTTTCTCAGATTCAATACAAAATCGTTTCAATAGCATAAAAAGAACAATACGAACAAAATATAATTCTTTAGAAACATCAACTTCACAGAGAAGAGTGACACCTATTGTCGAACCTATTCAACAACAATTTACTTATCATGCCCCAATACAAAATAATGAACAACAAATTTATAATTCACGTCTAATACCGACTACAGTTCGTCCGTATGTACGAGATAGGAATGAAATTTTCAGACAAGAAAGAAAAGCAATACGTGGTATATTGATTGTACTTGTCGTTATTCTTTTTTTATATTTTATTAGAAATATTATTGGATATTTACTGTGTATTTTAGGAATACTCTTTCTTTTATATTATTGTTTAACTTATGTATTATCCTGAATCAGATTTCGACATACGAATGTTTTTTATTCTAATTAAATACATTTTTTCAGGGTATCGATGTGGTAGTAGACAAAGTAGACTATACACACATCCCTGTCTTCATCTTAAATATATTCTTTTATTTATAAATCATATGATAACGATAATGTATACATATAGAAGAGAATAAATATAATTTCACGTCTCTCTCTCTCTCTTGATGTCTATATATATTCTTTGTTTATTTTGAATTTTACTATTTAATCTAATTTCATATATAGATCTTGTTTTGAAAATTTATATTTAAATTTGAATAATGCATTTCAATTAAATCTTTCGAATATATCAAAAAAAGATTTTTAATATTATCATAAAAATGTTCTTGAACCAAATAAAAATTCTTTATTTAATAAATCCATGTACAAATGATTTAATATTTTCTCCTCCACAACTTATTTTTACTTATAATCAAATTAAAAAAAATAATATTTGATAATATTCTTAAATATTTAATTTGTTTACCTAAATTACATTCATTAATTCTTTCATCAATTGATTATATTGAAAATCCATCTATATTATTTATTCAAATATGTCGTTTTAAAATCTTGTCAATTAACATATCGAACAAAAGAAATAAAATTAATTGATTTTATTCAACGTCAACAAAGTTCAATTGAAAATTTTATTATTAATGGTTATTTTCCATATGAATCATAAGAAAAATTTTTAATTTGTTTTCCAAAACTTCATTCTTTATCAATTAATCGTCTAGTTATAGATTGAGTGATTATTCATTGGAAATAAATTTTAATCCAATTGAACTTAAAAATTTAAAATCAATCTCTTTAAATACATTGAAATATTAACAATTTCAATATTTAATAGTTCACCAAATTTTTTCTATGCAGAACAATGGGAAGAATTTATTTGTTCTACAATACCAAATTTACGTATTTTTGATTTTCAATATCATTATAGTGGAGTAATGGAAAATTTTATACGTGCTTGTTATAGTGGGCGATTTGGTTCAAAATTTTGGACAAATAAACAATGGTTTTTTCATAATCAACGTAATGATAGACTCAAGTCAGACGATGGCCTCTTTTTTTCAACAAATTCATATCGGTAAGTATTAATTATGTTTATTTAAACACGTTGAGGGTGTGTGGGTGTGAATGAATCTCTCTTTCTTTAAAAGACTCACATCCACCCGCACCCACACCCGCTCATCCACACCTACGAGATAAACTTCGTCATATCTTTAGTTCGTTTTCTCGTAGTTCCAATCTCTACGAATAAATTTTTCTTATTTTAGAAGGAAAACTCATGAATTTTATTGGGAACATGATTATAATGTTAGATAGTTTTAAATCAGTTAAACAAATTTCCATTCATGATACACAAACTTATATCGATCGTAGTGTTTATTTGCCTAATGTTAATGAATTGACAATTCATAATTGTGGTTCAATTTCAACATTTCTTAATAAAATTCTTCCTTTACAACAATTGAACAAATGAATTATAAATTCAAAAAAATTTCGTTTTAAAGATATTTTAAATTTAATTAATGTTACATCGAATTTAAAAACATTCAAATGGTATTATCATTCAATTAAAATTAATCGAACAAAGTGATATTTATCAATCTGTATTAAATAAAAATAAAGTTGAAAATTTGGAGATAATTCATTGTTGTTGTTTATTAAAAGAAATTTTATTTTTTAGTCAATTATTTTCAAAATTAAAAACATTTCAATAATGCGACATTTATTATTAAAAATGTCTCATTTAGTTTTTTTATGTATTAAAGATTTACCGAAAATTTATTCAAACAAATTAAATATTTTAATCAAATCAGATAATTTACTTGAACATTATTTTATAAAATTTACTAATCGAGATTAATATTTATGGTATTAGAAGAAAAGAAATTAATTCTTTTTATTAGATGTGTTGGGTGTGGGTAGGTCAGATGTGATACGTTTAAACCCACCTCAGTGACGAATCCAGAGAGGCGACTGGTCTCTCCCTCTGAAAAATGTAAATACTTGAAGGGAGTACAAGTTTATCAAATGTTGCAAGCCGAAAAACAGTTTTTTCTATACGGCAATTCCCCTCTTAAAATAGTTTATCCTGCCACCTGCACTCACTACATTAAAGTTGTTTGTATTAAAAATATATGGTAAAAATGAACTGAAATATTTCTTTAAAACATTTTTCATTTGTTATTAATTTGTACGAATGAAAAGCCAAGATTGAATAGAAGTTTTTTTGTTCGAACAAGAAGAAAATATATTAAATCGTGCATCTATTATATGATGATTTGTCTATTTTGTAATCCCATATATATTCTATTTTTTATATTGAATAGAATTAGTATACTTTAGAAACACTAAGAGAAATATCAAGTTTTTGTTTTTTCAATTAATATGGTTTAAATCACTATACATATGTTCGAAAGAGCAAAAAGATTCATTTATGATATTGCCTTCTTTCAAAACACAAGATGATTAAAAATATTATTTATTATTTCATTTTTATTCTTTTCACGTAAATAATATTCATTTTTTTTCGTTCATTTTTCTAATATCTATATATCTGTTTTCTATTTTAGTGACACAGGTTTGATATTCATCCTGCTGTAGATGGTTATCTATTAGTTTCTTTCGTTATAATTTTGGTGATATCTCATATTTGTGAAGGCGTTGATCAATATGGTCGATGTTCGATGAATAGTGCGTGCGATTGTTTTCAAAGGGTAAATGCTGATGATATTAGTATTTGCGGTTTTTTATGGCCGACTTGTTCTCAACTTGCACTATGTAACTCTTCGAATAATGCATGCGATCAATCTGATACTATATGTGTTCGACATCCTCGATGTCATGATCGTCCTGTATGTTATACAGTATCAATGATTGATGAACCAGTGTGTCCTACGATAGCAAGTAAGAGAATAGTTAGTCAGATTTATATTCATTAGTACGTCGAACTAGTATGATCAGACATTTTTTTTGTCGTTCTCACGTTATCTGTACATGTATTCAACGTTAGTGAACACCTACTGACGAAGAACTAAAAACTCATTAAAATAACAGATAAAATGATTAGGCTTTTATAGTTTAATCAAATAAGAATAATATTTATATTATGATTTATCATGTGTTAAGTTGTAAGTACGTACCATAACATCTAAGTTGAGAATATGTTCTCTTTTATAGGTATTAACTTGCTCATCAATCCCGGCGGAGAAGATGGTGTACTCTCGCGTCGGATTGTAGGTGGCGATTCAAGCCCGCAACTAGATAAGGGCACGTTTTACTGTGGTTTCAGTCCTCGCACTGGATCGCATCAATTTAGTGGACACATTGGTTCACTCGGCACACTCACGCAGACTGTTGCTATCGTAGGTGCAAATCCATCGATCACAACATCACGGATCGATTCGGGCAGTCTTACCGTCGATTTGCTCTTTTGGACCCGTGTCTTTCCACAAACCAAGAACGACGGTACCGCAGTTGTCTTGTACTTTCTCGATGCCTCCAATGGTATTCTGAGCAATGCGACTTTTCCCGAGCAGGCAGCTGGTTCTAGTTGGATCTCATACTCAAATTCATACCCTATTCCTGTTGGAACAAGATTAATCCAATATCAAATGAGATTCATTCCGCATACTGGAAAAGACATAGATTCGTTTATCGATGACAACTCTATGACTATCTACTAACACATTTGCTTTTTCTCGAATAAGTAACTGAATCTATTGCGCATTATAGCGTCCAATCAGAAAAAAAATACAGAAAATCTTAAAGTTATCTCTTCAATAAAATTTTCTTCATACAAAGTCAAAATAATGTGTACCGAGTATTGCGTTATAATGATGATGATGACTTGAGTAAAGATTTCATTTATTTCATCATTTGTTTAATTTATGCTCTGTTGGCTTCAGAATAAAACTTTTGAATTATTGTTCGAAAAAATGAAAGTCTTCAACAATTATTTGTAAAGATTGAACGAAGATGGGCGTGAAATGGAAATGATACCCACACCCTCAATCATCTACGCAGGTCCCGGTGCAGGGTGTACCGCTCTTCTACTTCCATAAACTGTCTATCATGTGTGCCATTATACAAAATGTTTTATGCTTGCCTGAACTGTTCCAACTGATCATATACCTTTTTGTCCTTCTTACTTTTGATGTTCATTATATATTTTCCTTGACTTTTATTCAATCCTACGTGTTTTATAGACTGATTTTCGTATATTTTTTAAACCTAATAAATTCATCTCGAGAATGTGGATGAGAGTGTCACTATGTATTCTTCACCCACACTCTAGATGCAGCATATAGCATCTTTTTATTAAAGTTATATCCACGATTTACACAGAAGTAATTCTAGAAAACTCGAAGATTTTGTTTTGCTTTACCTAGGAAAAATGAGAAATTTTTCTTTTTTCCTAATTTTATAAATGTATTGAGTAGCATATTAAATATTTCCATGGATATTATTGTCTTTAAGTTTGTCTCAATGAACTAAAGGAATATCTTAATACTCAGTTCTTTTTTCAAATCTATTCGATACACTCAATGAAAAAATAAAGTTTTGAAGAAATACAGCAAGGCAAAACGAAAAATATTCATTTTATTTCTCTTTGCAACTAACTTATGTACACATACTTCATTTTCACTGAGTACGTACATACAAGAACGAGAAAAAGATGGCAACTATATTAATCATATATGAAAGTTTGTTTTGTTCGTTGTCAATGTACGTTTTTTTTGTTGGTCTCTCTCGCACTTTGTATTTACATTTTTAAAAGCATCTAAAAAAGAATACAATCATTTGCCATTAAATAATAGTTGTGACATTGACAAACTTTCTTTTAGCAGAATGATTTTGAATTGACAAAAGACGCATGGATACTCTCTATAATTAAGCAAAGAACGCCAATCGGTGTTTTGAACACATTCTTAGCAATGTTTAACTACATATAGTCTGTGAATATAAGCAAAGCAAAACACGTATACAATCTATTCTTAATATAAGATAGGATGTGTTCACTAATTCTACAATGTGCACAAAATAATGTTGTGAATCTCACTGATGAATCAGAGAGACAGAAAGAAAATAAAAAAAAATAAAATTCGCTGTCGAAGTGTCATCTAAGCATTAACATACTGGAATAATAATGCAGACGTAAATAAGAGAAATTTGGAAAGAAAAAAAAACAATTAACATGCCTAGCTGACTTCTTTGTATTTTGTTTGTTCGGATTTGGTTAATTTCTCTCTCTCTGTTATTTTTTAGCATAGTGTGTTCTTAATAATAAATAGGTGGCGAGATTCTTTTTATGTCAACAAAATAATACAAATATTGTGAATTGCAGAATAATCGAGAAAAAAACAAATCGTTGCCTATATAAACCATTGTTGTGTTCTCTATATTCATTCAAATAACAACACTTACTTATAAATTCACATCAATATGGGGTGCAAACAGTCGAAAAAAAAGATTTCTTTACCCCATATTCTACACGCCTCTAACACCACTGTTACAATAACAACGCCATCAGTACCTCAGCACATGACCCAAAATTATCTGTTGATTTGGGTCGATGAAAGCATCGATCAAACCAATAGGGATTGTCAGAATACGTTGACACAGTTCCGAGCTATAGTCAACGACGTCATTATGTGCACTCAATCAGACCAATGTATCAGGTTTCTCAACAAACTCAAGGACGAAGAAAGTTTCGCCATTATATCGGGATCACTTGGTCAACATTTAGTCCCTAAAATCCATGGTGTGTCAAAATTAGATGGCATTTATATATTTTGTGACGATGTATCTTACCACCAACAATGGACTAAGGATTGGAACAAAATTAAGAGTGTTCATAATAATATCAAGGATATTTGTGATTCATTAAAAGCAAGTATCAAACAAGTCAATCAGGATTCAATTCCTATAAGCTTTGTCACAACGAATGAAGCGATGTCCATTAAAAACCTGAATCAACTGGATCTAAATTACATATACATAAAAATATTCAAGGATATTCTCCTTAAAAGGGAACATTATCAAGAACAAGCCATTGAGATCTTAGCTGTGTATTGCTGCAATCTTTATTCGGGCAACATCGATGAATTAAATGTTATTGATGAATTTAAAAGTGATTATGATCCGAAACATGCAATCTGGTGGTATACACGTGAGTGTTTTATCTATCAAATGCTCAATCGAGCCCTTCGAACATTGGATGTCGACATCATTGTTAGAATAGGATTTTTTATACATGATCTTCATCAACAAATTGATCAGTTATATAAGCAACAACTTCCAAATTATCGTGGTAATACTTTTATAGTTTATCGAGGACAAGGTTTGTTGAAAAGTGATTTCGATAAACTCAAAAAAACAAAAGGTGGTTTCCTGTCTTTTAACAATTTTTTATCTACCAGTATGAACAAAGATGTTTCCCTCGATTTTGCCGAACGTAGATCACCAAAAGCGGATATGGTGGGAATACTTTTTATAATGACTATTGTTCCTCGTAACTCATCAACACCATTTGCCTCTATTAAGGAGGTTAGTTATTACGAAGTAGAAGATGAAATTCTGTTCTCCATGCACACCGTATTTCGAATAGGTGCAATTAAACAAATGGACAATAATGATCAACTCTATGAAGTTGAACTTGAACTGATTGCTGATAAACAACTTTGCCGACTTACTCAATGTGTAAGCCACCAGGTTGGAGGTGGGACAGTTTGGGAACGATTGGGAAACTTATTATGCAAAACAGGCCATCTCGATAAGGCTGAAGAACTATATAAAGCAGTACTTCAACAACCATTGAACGAGAGTTACAAAGCAATCTATTATAACGATATTGGATATGTCAAAGATATGCAAGGTGATTATGAACAAGGTATGAAATATTACGAACAAGCATCTGAAATCAACGGAATAGCTCTTCCTGAAAATTATCCTTCGCTGGCTAATTTCTACAAAGCCATGGGTATGGTGTATAATGGGGCAGGAGATCACACGGAAGCACTTTCATATTACGAAAAAGCACTTGAAATTGAAGAAAAAACTTTTCCTGTAAATCATCCTTCGTTGACTATTTCTTACAATAACATTGGTTTGGTGTATAATGAGCTAGGAGAATATACGAAAGCACTTCTATTTTACGAAAAAACACTTCGAATCTGGGAAAAAACTCTTCCTGCAGATCATCCTTCATTGGCTATTCTTTACAACAACATTGGTTTGATGTATAATGAGCTAGGAGAATATACGACAGCACTTCGATTTTACGAAAAAGCACTTGGAATTAGGGAAAAAACTCTTCCTGCAGATCATCCTGATTTGGCTACCTCCTACAACGACATCGGTGGTGTATATGATAGCATGAGAGAGTACTCAAAAGCACTTACATATCACGAAAAAGCCCTCAGAATCTGTGAAAAATATCTTCCTGCAAATCATCCTTTATTGGCTACGTTCTATAACAATCTCGGTAGGTTATATTATAACACAAAAGAATATTCGACAGCACTTTCATTTTACGAGAAAACACGTGAAATCTTTGAAAGAATTCTTCCTGCAAATCATCCTGACTTGGTTACTTCCTACAACAAGATTGGCAGTCTGCATTATACCACGAAAGAATATTCGAAAGCACTCTTTTATTTTGAACGTGTTTTGGAGATTAAACAATGCTCATTGTCTGCTAATCATCCTGGTATACAAGATGCGAACGAGAATATTGCTATTATAAAAATGATAATTTTTTCTTCTGAATAAGTAAATAAATGTTTTCTTTACACAAGATAGAAATAATTGTATTTTTGTTATCTATTCGCGAGCGCGTACAGAGAACAACTCTAAGTAATCTAAACGAACTGGGTGTGGGTGTGGGTGATGCTTTAGTATATTAGAAAAAAAGATACATAAAGAAAAGAGTATGGTAGATAAAAAGCGCTGTCATAAAAATACCTTTCTCAAAAAATAATGAAAATGAAGAAGGAAATTACTTTTCATCATGTTTTTGAAAGGAAAAACTAATTAAAGCTAAAGAAGAAGATTAAAAACAGTCACTATCCCGAGAAACTGAAGAGAGGGTGACACAAAGAAAAATTTTATGTTTGCTAAAACAATTTTCTTTTTTTCTAATGATATATCTCTTGCTGAATAGAGAATAAGATGCTCTATACGTTACACTATCCATAGAGGCTTATAAAAATGTCGTCAACAACTCTAACGACTATTCAAGATCAACTTATTCTATTTGGATATCCAACTTGGATGATTTTGGGAAATATTGGTAATATATTTATCATTATGATCTTTATACGATATCGTCACAATGCATGTTCAATCTATATTTTAAATTTAGCTATAATGGATAATCTTTATTTAACATTTCTAAGTCTTACTCAAATAATTCCTTTTTCATACAAAAATATAACAGTATATGCATTAGCATATTGTAAAATACGTTTCTACTTAACAAATATTTTCGGTCAAGTAGCAAAAACTATGCTTGTATTATCATGTATTGATCGTTTTATGATTACAAGCGATCGTGCTAGTCTTCGAAGATTTAGTACTTATAAACGAGCAAAATTTCTTATCTTTTTTTCGATTATTTGTTGGTTACTGATTTGTATTCATGTTCCAATAATGATCACAATTGTCGATGGACAATGTGGCATGTTTGGCATTTACGCAACAATTTATAATGTTTATACTATAATATTTTTTAGTTTAATTCCATCTATCTTGATAGGTATATTTGGCTATTTAACACATCGTAATATGAGACATATACGTAATCGTATTCAGCCAAGTGAACATAATGTAAATAATGTTATTAAACGAAGAGATCGAGAATTAATGGTTATTATCATATCTGAAGCATTTGTTTATGTTGTTACAGCAACGCCTTATATACTAGTTATGATAGAAATGATTACCAGTCGATATGCATTACCTAATAAAAGTTTTCAATATTTACAAATTGAACTTTTTATATTTAATATGTCATTTTTATTATTATTCTTAAATAATGCTGCACCATTCTATATTTATCTGATTACATCAAAATCATTTCGTCGAGATTTTAAACAATTAATTTTCAATTTTTATCAGAAAATAGTAAAACAACCAACTGTACCGGTTGCTTTCACAACAAATCAATCGTTAGCACAACGAGACACTCGTGTTTAATCAAATGAATTTTTTATACACGGCTAAATGTGTGATTTATATCAATAAATATTTTTTTTATAGTACTTAAAAAATATGGTTAGAATATATTCAATTATAGATTGTTTGTTGCCACTTTCTTTACACTGTAGAGCGAGTTAATGATTGGTTGAAATTGTTTTTGAACATTCATTCGACGCGTTTTAAGCGTTATAGTAAGAAGACCATTCTCCATTGAGAATGGATGAGGATGAAGATAAATATTGGTTACAGTTTCAAAATATTTCAACTTATTATCTTTAGCCAAACAAATTAAATCGGTCAAGATAATCTGTTTCAATTCTGGTTCTTTACATAAATCAGTAAATGCTGTTGTTTGTGTTGATTTAAAATTTTTCCGTACATAGTCTTCATCTGGTATGACAATAGCTACTACCGTAGCTTCTGTTGAAATTCCATCAATAAAGATCTGTGTAATCCATGGAGAACGAATATAAACATCTTCAAGACGTTCCGGTGCAATATAAACACCTTGATTCAATTTAAATATATGTTTTGTACGATCAATAATGCGTAATGCACCATCACTTGCCCATTCTCCAATATCACCTGTATGTAACCAACCATTTTCATCAATTGTTTCACGTGCCTTAACTTCGTCATTATAGTAACCTAAAGAAAATTTATAAGAAAATATTTACTTTCTCATAGCTCGACTTCTTAGCAAACTGAGCTGTTGAAAAGAATATACACTCTCAAAAAATGAATGTGATAATACCTTTGAAGATAGTTGGTCCTCGAATACAAATTTCACCTTGATTCATTTCACTTCGATATTTCGTATGTGGTACATCGATAAGTTTTACTTCGACAGTCGCAACAGGTGAACCAATCGTGTCAAACGATAGATCTCCTGCATGAGTAGTAGTACCACAAGCTGTTGTTTCTGTTTGTCCATATCCACTCATAATAGGTATATCGAGTGCAATACGAAAAAAATGTAATACATCACGCGTGATTGGTGCCGATCCAGTAAATATCGCTTTTAATTCATTACCAAATATTTTTTTAACTTTACCCAAAATCAAACGTGATAACCACCATGATTCTTCACTATGTAATGATTGTTGAACAAGATATTGTTTTAATTTACTTTTACTGACTTCTGTCATAATTTTATCATGGATTTTATTCAGAATTCGAGGTACAACTGTCATTTAAGTTGGTTTTACAATAGAACAATACTCAATAAATTTATCTGGTGTAGGACAAAATACGACTTGATTACCACGTAGAAGGACTGCGAGAAGAATGAATCGTTCAAATATATGAGCCAATGGTAGTACTGAACAGTGTCGAGCCGTAACAGGTCCTTTGATATTAGCTCGTTCGATACGAAGAATATGTCCTTTTGATCCTGCTAAAAGATTCTCATGCGATAACATCACAATTTTTGGTTCACCTAAAATACAAAGAAAGAATACTATTTCCTTAACAACTCTACGGAGAAGGGTCAAGGGTGTGTGATAAAAGATTACTCACACTCTACCCTTTATCTTACCTGTTGTACCACTGGTCATAATGAATGTTGCAATACTATTTGGATCTATGGTCGGTCGTTCACAAATATCATTTGCCTTTGTTATCTTTAAGATCGATGAAAGACTTTGTATTTTATTTGTTTGATTATCGATTTTATCATCCATGACAATGATCATTTTGAGTTGACCATTTTGTAATAAATCATTTTGACATGATTTAATACGTTCAATATTATCAACAACAAGTATTTCTGCTTTAGTTCGATGAAGTAAACTCATAACAGCAGCAGGATCATAACTAGTGTAAAGATTCACAAGAATAAATCCATACATATAACAAGCTTGTTCAACAAATAGATATTCAGGTCGATTCGAGGACATAATAGCTACTTTTGATTGCATAGGTGTAAGATTTGCAGATTTCCATAAATATGAACCAATCATGAGACTTCGTTCGATTGCCATTGAATAGGATAACCATTCTATTGATTTTGTACTATTCGACGATTGTAAAATTCCTACACACGAACCATTATTTGAAGCAGTACGACCTTCGTATAAGATATCGCCAAGTGTACGTACATTTGGACAAATTGTCTTATATAATGTCCAAATATCAAGATCTTTATAGAATGTACAACGACGAATATGTTCATCAGCTTTCGTTTCTATTGATTGTTGATTATAATCTATTCCATCATAATGTAGTTGCTGGACGCGTGTTTTATAAGTACGGATGTTTATACAAGGAACCGAAACTCCTCGAATACGTGACACAACATGCATTCCTTTTGACTTTAATAACAAACGTAACATCAATTCTTCTATTAATTCAATTAATTCTAAATTACAGTAAATATATATCATTGACCATCTTGAGGGTGGGTGTGGATAGTTTTTATAAATTACAGAAAATCTATTTTAAAAAACTTTCAAATTAAAATATTCTATACGACTAAAATTTTAAAAACATACGATTGTCTTTTTTGATTTTATAATAAAAAATCGTAGCTCCCTACTTTACTATTACTTACTCGGAGTTTTTTTTTGCCTCGAAATGAATATCAATTGTGAAAAAGATACGCAAAACACATGTGTTTCTTTACAGAACGAAAGAAAAAATATCGTATTAGTGTAAAATATGTTCTTGTTCCTCCGTCAATACGCGACTCTAAAGAAAGAAAAAGAACAGCTTGCGCGCACTACTGTAAGATTTCAGTATATATGTGGCAGTCGGCTAGGGAATTTAGTTGAGTATGGAATGCTATCTTGAGGGTGGGTGTGGGTTGAATGAACGTAGATGTTGATATCGATGTAGGTGGGTGAGTGTGAATGTGGATGTCTTCTCTTTAGATCTGCATGCACGCGTATACCTATTCACACCGACATACTAAAAAATGTTTTTGCTGAGGATTGTCTACCGTTAATAATAATTTCCCAATAAAAAGTCAAAAATAATATTTATTTCTTTTATCTTCGAAACGTTTCAAAATAATGATTGCATGTTTTGAAGTTGTATGCGGTATTGAGACGTTATCTCGTTCTGTCGTAGCGAACGATAAAAATGACGTTATCAGACTTTGAATAGTGAGTCAATGTTTGTTCTTCTCAGTGGGAAAAAGTTCTAAAATAAGCTTTTAGAATCCTATTTAAACTCATCGAATATTCATATTCAAATACACACCATTAACTTATATTCGTTCTAATTATGTTACTATATCAGAGAACTCCAAGTATGCTTCTACAAGAAGAAAACAACCATACGAGAAGGTAGATTCGAATTAATATCAATCATTTGATAACTGTTAAATACTTGTTACTTTTTAGAATATGTTCCAAATTAAATTCAACAGAAGATCTCTGTTTCAGACGAATAATTAATGCGTTGAATAATTGGTCAACGGCTGATGTTCGTACTGTACCTTTTGTCATGTATCAACTTCGTTGTGGTAATGATGAGCATGATGAAACAGTTGAATATCAAATCAACTGGTTTATCGATTGTGCTGAAACACATATTCATAATCATCGAAATTCATTTGAGACATATTGTTTAGAAGGACAATATGAAGAAAAAATTTGGAAAATAATTGATGATAATGATGGAAAATTTACTTATCAATTCACTCGAAGTGCAGATAATACAATCAGTAAAGCTAAACTAATACCTGGTACTCTTCGTCATGTGACTTCCAGATATCATTTTCCTGGTAATAAAATGCATGTTGATACTGAACACTTTCATTCTGTTACTCCGATTATTGGATCAGATAAACGTGTCGTCACGTTTTTGACTAAAAGAAAGTATTCTACACCAGTCGACACATCCATACTCAGTTCTGAACCTCATTTCGATCCATTGAATGATCAAATGCGAATTGCAACCTACGATGAACGTCATCACATGTATCAAAAACTTCTTCAAATATTAACAACACATCAGAAGGCACAATGGAAACAAAACTGGTCTGATCTTCAATTCTGATTCAGTTTTATTTTTCTGTTTTAAGCGATATCTCTAAAACTTGAATACGAATCTCCGATGTTTTTATCTATTTGTTTCTAATACTTTTTGTTTTTATTTTAATGTGTTTAAATAAAAGAAAATACGACAAAATGAAATCTTTTAGCTGAACATCGAAGTGTATTTTAATACGAGGATTGTGCTGCTGAATGTGTGGTTCTGGTTTCGATATTATATATTATTACAAATAATATTCTTTAGATAAAAAACAAATAATGGCTTTACGTGAAATTTTTTCGTTCGACCAAATGGAAAGTGTATGTATCAATGATAATTGCTCGGAAGAAGCGATAAAAACGTGCGCTGGTTGATATTTGTTTTTGTCATGTTATGTGATATTTTCGGTCGGTGATGCAAACAACCAAAAAATATCATGATTTAAAAGCCCCGTTCTCGGATTGATTGCCGATTTTTATTCAGGTGAAAAAACGACGATGGACGCATCAATGAGCACGACAGTAAAGGAGATATAAAATAATGTATTTCTTGATGTTTTATTCATTTATTCATATTCGTCTAGGTATACAGTTGGTTTTTTTATTCATTCTTTTTCAGTTTGAATTGTCGTTCGATTTTATTTAATAGTAAGTAAAATTATACTATTTGATTGTAGTCTAAAGGATATAAATGATATCTTTAAATGCTAGAGCTTATTCTACTGCTAAAAAATAT